TAAACAGCGGTACAACACATACCAAAAGATCCATCCAAACAAGAGCCTTCCAGCCATTCAGGCTGCACACGATGGGCAACTACTTTAAAAAAAGAGATGGTCCGGAGAAAAAGTAAAAACTACAAGTTAAAAAAAGAACATAAAACCTTTCCGTTTCACTACATGATGGGCCATTTGAAGCTATATAAATTTACAGAGTCACTGGGGTCTGCAAAATATCTGGGTGCTCCCTTAATGCTCCAGAGACTTGCCTGTGCTGCCAGAGGAGCTGTATTGGGCTAGAAGAAAGCTATGAAATTCTTCAACTGTATCTAAGTTAGTCTCAGGGCTGTGGCTGCATACAGGAAACTTGGAATGGTAAAGGCATCAGGGTCCTAGCCAGGTCTTACTTTTACTGCACAGCTACTGAAACCTCCCATGTCATTTTCACATTGAAATTATAGGAATGCACCACACAAAATTTACTAGAACCTTTACCAGTCAGACTGCACTCCCCGTCCCTAGAGTGGCTTTGCCGAGGCAGGCCCTAATTAAACTACTGTGAACAATCTCCCCCCACCCAAGTAGAACCCTGCATGGCCTGCCAAGATTCCTTTCCTCTTTGGGGTGTCGGTAGGGGGTAACTTAATCCTATTAGTATCTGCGACGTTTGTTAGGACCAAATTCCCCCCCAGGATTTCCTCTGTTGAAGCCAGGCGGGTTTCCTCCCATAGCTCCAAGTCCTTCCATTGCGCTGCCCTGGCCAAAGCGATCAGCAGGCGGTGGTGGAGTCTTGGACAGGGTGAGAGCACAGAACAGGCAGAAAGGAGAAAAGACTTAAGTTAGAAGCAGTTCCAGTTGACCCGAGTCCCATCAGGACTCCACAGCCCCAAGTGACCTATCAGCTCCAGACAAGGCCATTGGAAGCCAGCAACTTCAGATGCCCCTGTGGGGCAAACACTTCTCCCAGATTTGCTGAAGGGTCTCCCAAACCAAGACTGGACCAACAGGCGCACAACTGTGTCATAGGAACAAATCTGCTTCCCCACAAAATCCACCTCTGTGTCTGCAATTCTAACAGGCATATGGCAGGACTGTTACCCAAACCTATAGGTTTGCAGTGGAACGCAAGAAAAATGCAGTTAGGAAGCAGAACTTCATGATTCCACTGTGCTTCCCTGAACTGAACACCTAGCAAGGACACTTAGCCCAAACTATCATTAAGCTTTGTGAACAGAGTGAGCAGAGGCTTTTGTACACTCATACATGCTGGGAGTGTCACAGAGGATTTATACACAAATACAGGCAGCAAAACAGCAGCAGTCCATCCTTTCCATCCTCCCACACAGAAGTTTTCTGGAGAAGCCTTGATTCTGTCCTGCAAGATATGTTACCATGGGGCAAGATGGAAACCCCATTAGCACCAGAGTGGGTGTGAGACAGCCCTTCTCTCCCCACTACTTTAAGCAGCAGCCCCAGCCACTTCCAGTATCAACCACATGGCCAGCATAAGTAAAGTCAGACTCCAAAGCAACCAGAAAAGGCGCCGAATATTAGACAGCACCTGACTTCCTTTTGGCCATTTTCATTTTCACTATGCTGCCTAAATACCTTCCCTTTCAATCTGTCCCTGCCATGTTATCCCCCCACCCCCACTGTATCCATTCTCTTCCCCTGATCCAATCCACCAACCTCATCTCTTCCTATCCCACTCTTTATCTACCCCAAATCATCTTATAATACAGCAACACGTGTCTCTGGCAACCAAAGCAATTGCATGGACTTTACCATCCCAGTGCCTCCCCTAACAGCCACTACTCCAGGCTTAGCTTGCAAGCTTTATAGGGCAAATTGGCTTATTTGCTATGTCAAATTTTTAGCCTGATTTGGAATCCAAAAGTTAACTCATTTGAAACACACAGGCTGTAGCCATAATAGTGCTCCTCAGGCAGGAGGAGTGGCCTGTAGAAGAGATGGGAGCAATACATGGAAGGAAGCCATGGTCTTCTGTGAAGCAAACACAGCTAGGTAAATGTCTAACTTGTCACTGCCATTCCCACCCTTTTGCTTTCCAAGAACATACTCCATACAAAGAGTCCATTAAAGTTAAGAAACATTAACAACTAGAAGCTTCGAACTGCAGTTTAGACACTCAACAAAGAACTTAACTGCGCCTCTACAGCAACCTAAGCCTAAAACCATTTGTTCCATGCAGCATGTTCCTAAGAACTGTAAAATACCAAGACAAAAAGGCTGTAGACATCTTGTTTGGCAACAATAATGCATTTATACAATTGCCAAGGTAGTAACACCCAGGCACCGTGCGCTGGTTCTGTTACTACTTCAAACATGCGTGTTTTTGTGATCTAGTTGCATTATGCAATGAAATAAAGGCAAAAGGTGGTGCAGGCACATTTTCATTTCACTCACAGCAAAGCATTCTACTTCCCAGTCAGTGCTAAGATAAAAAACTTAAGGAGTGGTAAGAAGTTCCTTGCGACACTGCTACAGAAGCAGAGTTACACTATGGGTTTCTTTCAGCTTTACTTCTAAACTGTTACTGGGTGGTATGCACTAACTTTCCAATGCTGGTACGCACTTTAAATTCAAAGCCTGTATGTGGCATTTCTTTGGGATTTTGAATTGTGAACCGTTTAAGGTGACATGCATTGGCAGTGCAAGAAGCAATACCCAAGAAGGGACCACATTTTACCAGGTCATTTATGGATAGCTGGGGAGGAGAGCAAAGTCAGGGTGGTATGTGGATGTGACACTCACTGTGGAGCCCTGATGGTCCCTCACCAGCCCCACTCTAGCTTACGTAGTTTCATAGTCCTTAGGGTCGGAAGGGACCTAAACAGATCATCAGGTCTGACCCCTTGCCCCAGGCAGGAACGAGTGCAGGGTCATAACACCCCAGCCAAATATCTGTCCAGCTTCCTCTTGAAGACCCCCAAGGTTAGACGGAGCACCACCCTCCCTTGGGAGTCCATTCCAGAGCCTGGCAGCCCTAACTGTAAAGTAAAAGAGGGTAGTATGGCAAGGGATGAAAATCTCACAGGCACCTGATCCTTGTGGGGGGTGTTGTGGAAGGGAGGACAGATTCTACCAGCAGCAGATTATGCAATCAGAGTCCTTTCTAATCTCATAGAGAATTTATTCATGCTCTTGTTTGATTCTCTCTCCCCCTCTTGCCCCACAAAGAAGTCAGCAAGAGCCTCTCCACTTCCCCCAAACCACAGTCTTATATTTTGGATAGGCTACTACCACGCAGTGGTTAAAAACAAACAAGCGTAGGTTTCTAGTTGTTCTTTGCTCACTACTGTCTAAGCTGTAACTCAAGCTGTAGGGGGGTTTCCACTGTTCTCTGCTGTGCAGAGCAACTGAAAAGCCTAGACATACAGACTGCCAGAAATCTGATCTCCAGACACTCAAGTTCAACTAACAGCTTCCCAAACAAGCCTTCCCCTTTATTAAGTGGTCACATGCTAGAATCCCTTTCAAGTGAATTTTTAGAACTGGTAATTCTACAAGTATGAGAGCAAACAAGCAAGACTGAATCACTTCAGAACTGTGCAGCAAGTCTTATGTCAAGACAGACTTGTGAAGACCTGAAAAAAAGCAAAGATCAGGTATATCATGGCAAACAGGTCTTGACCTTAATGCCACAGCCCTTAACACTGAAAGCAAAACACCCTTCACTTAGAAAGGGTGCAGGGAGAGAGTAGCTAGAAAGGCAATGCTGCAGATACATTACCATCCCCATGGCCCCATCAGGTATCATGGCTCCAGGACCAGCTGCCGGGGGTGCACCAGCTGGGACATTGGTGCCACCCATGGCGCCTCTATTGTTCATGCCAATGGCACCTGAAAGAAATTGAAGAATATTCCTGATAGACCTAATAAGGACCACCCCCCATTACAGTGGACAGACACATGGCCCATGCAGCCTTCCTGCAGAAGCACATCCGAGACCGAAACCTCAACCAGGCAGCCTTACAAATGTGCTAGTGGGTACTCCCCTTCTCAAAAATCAATCTGGACAGCAAGAGGTGTTCCAAGGGTCATAATCATATTTCAGCATCTGTTAGCCACCTAATACTTCTGTCTGAGGGGCCAAAACTTGAGGCTGCAAAACCAACACCAAAATGCCATCATGGGGTTGTACTTCTTACCTGCCTGGACTTTGTTGCTTAGTTCAGTCTTGCATGTTATAGCAGTCTATAATCTAGAGATAAGTGTGCTTGGTAGTCCTGACTTCCTTACAGGCCTTCTGGCAATTTCACCTGAATCTTCTGCTGAAGGAGCTGCGCTATCCACACATACTATTATCTCATTTATGTCTAACTTCTTTCACGTCTTGCCAAATACGCCTCACTCAGTCCAATGTAAATGCTAAATGCTCTTAAAACTAACTTTCTGTAGAACATAGTACGAGAACAGCCACCAACGAAATGGAAAGCAAGTTTCCAAGTACACTAAACACGGAGCCAATAATTAGACCTGTTCTTGGAGCATTTCAGTCTAGAAAGAGGGGAACTAAGTATACAAAGAAACAGAAGAAAGGAAGTCAGAAAACTCTTACCTCCCATGCCCATTTGTCCCATCCGCATGTCTGGTGGTTCCCTCTGAAAAAGAGGCACCTATTTTTACATTACAGCATTACAGATATTTCTTATATAACTTGACAAAGCCAGAACCTCAGTGAGCTCATCAGTGAAGACCTGGAAACAGATACTTTTAGGACAAGCCCTGAAGAAAGACTTAACCCACTCTTAACTATTCAAACAGGACCTCACTTCACATAATTTATTCTGCAAGACAGTTAGCCACAAGCATTGCACAACATCCAACATCAGATACAAAGTACCATGTGCATATTTAAGCAAGAGCATTGACATAAAGAAGAGCCAGTGCCTTAGTAGAGAGGTCTGTCAGAAGCAGCTGCAATACCATATCAGCAAGGTCAGGAAAGTGTACTTATGGAAAGGAATGCAGATGCACAAACTATGCCAATCTGAGCCCAAAGGCCAAGAAGTGACACAACTGTTGTGTCCCCTACAGAGAGATTACAGCTAGCAAGACACTCCTTTTTTATTACTGCTGTCGAGCAGGAGGACACCACTGTACAGGCAACCTCCGCTTAACAGTTTCGGTTAGCACTATTTCGCTATAGTGCTCATTTAAAATTCATGCCCGATTCCACTGAGTGCTCAGCCAGTTTCACAGCGCTCAGTGGAATCAGCGAGTTTCGGCAGGCGGGTGGGGAGAAGCGGTGGCAGCAAGTGGGGTGAGTGGCAGCAAGTGGGAGGGGTGGGGGAGCAGGAGCGCGGGGCCAGAGTGGCCGAGGGGGTGGGGAGAGGCAGTGGCAGTGA